GTCGAAGAGCCGGCGGCGAAGCCCGCGGACGTGCGCTCCGCGCGGAAGCTCCACGAAGCCGGCATCCGGTTCCGGCACAGCGGGCGGGCGGACTGCCTCTGCGACGTCCGGTTCCGGGGCGGCACCCTCACCATGCCGCAGCTCTTCGTGGACGACTCCACCGAGTACAAGCTCCTGAACCTGATGGCGTTCGAGGCCCTGCACGTCGGCGCCGGCAACGACGTGACCGCCTACGTCTTCTTCATGCGGAGCGTCGTCGGCTGCGTGGACGACGTGCGGCTGCTGCGGCGCAAGGGGATCGTCCGGAGCGAGTGGGTGGACGGCGACGAGACGGTGGTGCGGCTGCTCAACGACATGACCAGGGACGTGGTCTGCGACGAGGCGTCGCCGCTCTGCGCCCTGCACGGCGAGGTGGAGGCCTACTGCCGGAGCAACCTGCGCGTGTTCCTGCACGTGTCGTGGTACTACCTCAAGCGCACCTACTTCGGGAACCCGTGGACGTTCCTCTCCCTCGCCGCCGGCATCCTGCTCCTCGTCACCGACATCATCCAGACTGTGTATTCCGTTCTTTCTTACGAAGTGCAGGGAAAGAGACAGTATTACAGCCATCACTAGCGGGGCTGAGCGTACCTGAGCTCCCAGCTGTTAGCGTTACACTTTGGCTTATAGGTGTAGATGCACCCATTGTCTAAATACAAATTTTAAAAGTTAAAAAAGTGAGGAAAAAAAATCCTGCGTGTACATCCGGACATTATATATTTGTGCACCAAATGTTAGCGTTAAACTAGCTAAAATACCTGTGCATTGCCACGAAATACAAGTGAAGTACGAGACACCAGGTTATTGTATATCTTGTCAGAACTTAGATGCGTTGATCACAACTTATATATCGAATGATTCAGCAAAATTCTAGAGCTTGCAGAGAGCTTACAAACAAGGCAAATTTTAACCACAGTAGCTAAATGTCAATCGACTGACTTTAGCTTTTGTGGCCAGTCGATTTTGAACAAAGGAAGGAGAAAGAAGGGCCTCGCCGGAGAGAAGGAAGGAGAAATAAGGGGCTCACTGGAGGGCTACCTCATTATCTATCTTAGGGTTTAGGCTGGGGGCGGTGGTGGACGGCGGTGGTGGGGCTTCGTCAGAGAAAAAAACTGGACGCCGGCGGGGCTAGAGGGATGGCCGGGGGCGGCGGCAAGACCGACGGTGGGGGACGGATTAGAGGAGGGCGGTCGCGGGAGCGCCGGCGGCTGCAGGAGGCGGTGGCCGGCAGTTCGGCCGGTGGCATGTTTGCCGGTGGAAGAAGAAGAAGTCTAGAGGGTAAATCCCCTTTCTTCCCGCCACTTCCGATCACGTCAACCCCTGCTCATCTGACGGTGCCGCCTTCGGTTCGCTGCTCCCGATCTCCAATGCCTCCTACGGCGCAGACTCCCTCGAACCCGATTGTGACTGCGGCGATGGACGATGGCCTCGGGAGGCAGCAATGCCTTCCCTAGCCTAACAAATTTGTTGATGGTATTTCCATATTCCTCTATTTCATCTTCTCTGAACTAGTTATAATATTGCCATGTTTTAAATATGTCTATCTTTTCAGGGTCCTAGTGAAATTGATGATATGTCATCTTAAGATCTTCTTTAGGGCTCTATTTTAGTACCTTCAGCTGGAGCAGAGGATAGTTTGTTCTTTGGGGATAAAGTCGGTGATAAGTAGTGTGGTAATCGATGGGCTTTTGGTTATTTGGAGAAAAAGAACATTTCAAAAGATAGATTTGTTATTGTTGCTACATGCCATGCTATTTTGTTCTTTTGGGATGATAATGTTGAGCACTTGGTGGAAAAAAGTTGTGCTAACTTGTGCTAATTGATGGCATTTGGTAGATATTCAGCGATCATGTTCATTTGTACAAATACATTTGCTGCATGAGGCTGTCCAAAGTAGTGAAGTAAAAATGTTTGTTCAATTATTATGCTTTTATATGTTCCTGAACTGTAGGGTAGTGCTAAAATGTAGTGAACTGAATTCATGTCCGTATATGTGCCCGTACTGAACTGAATCCTCTTTGTTCCTGTTCCTGTTTCTGAACTGAATCACACCCGAACTGGGGCCTTATTTGAGCCAAAGCATGGGTTGGCAAGTTGTGCGTTGAGGGAGCTGTGAGATGCAGCAGCCGTGGCATTTGAAATGGATGGCATCGCTTCTGCAAGCTGCTTGGGCGTGGGGAGGCGGCAGGGCGAGCAAGAGGATCGCTATCCGGTCTGTGCCATGAGTGTGCCGAGCAAAAGGCACCAGAGCGGACGACGTCTGGGACCTCCATGGCGACGACCAAGAGGTCCTCCGGCAGCACGAACCAGTCATGCATGTTGGTCTCGGCCTTGGTCGTCACAACTTCCTGCATGCATCGGTAGGGCTAGTACGCTATTTTCGCATACCATCAAAGTTCGATTTGCCATTTGACAATTCTCGGCAACTTGCTCTGCTCTGATTGGTATTTTTTTCAATTTACGCCCACTCAGGGCCCGCTTGGATTAGAAACACCGGGGACAAGGAGCACCCCCATTCCAAGCAGGGGATAAGTAAACTTCCACCGTGTACGTACAACCCAGTAAAAGGACAAAACCCAGGTATAACTAACTTTCATGATCCATTATAACTTCATACGATGATCCATTATAACTTCATATCATGATATCTACTTACTCCTTTTTTTTTAGATGATGATATCTACTCCTAATTTAAAGCAAAGCAGAGACCGGCACCACAACGATCTGTCTTCAGCTCAGTAGCCGTTTCCATGACTCTAAGTCTCAAGACTGAAATGCATTAGACCACTAGTAAAACTGCTAGTAGCAGACTTGAATAGAAACATCTGCACGCAATAGTGCAAGAAATACGCGGGCAAACCAGTCCGCAATGACAGTGATATTGCAACAAAATCGATTCATGGACTATATGCAACAGCATAAGGCAAGTCAACATACAAATACAGAGTTGGCTGCATACAAAGCCAACGGTTTACTGAGCCACAGCACCGGGTGTATACACACTGCACGTTAGGGGTAAAATCAGAGTGGATACGTACACTCCTTAACATTTAGAAAAAAGGAGTGGATACATATGCCGAAAGTAAGTAAGCGTGCTGGAACTATAACTAGTGCTAGAGAGGTAGCAACGCACATTGGGGAATGAAACAAGAGCGTGCTCAGTTTGCGCCACCCAATCTTAATGCCCATGCTGTGCAAAATCACATCTTCTAGGTTCAAATAGGCACTCAATTGCTTTATAATGCAGTAATTTAACATCACCTACTATGGAATGCAACACCTTCATTTCTAAAGGAAAATTTTCAACACTTGTCCCTAGCTTTACATTGAATCCAGTCTGAGAATCACTAACATGGTTTATATATTCGATGCATGGCATACAAAAACAACCATTTTATCACATTGTCATGCAAGCAGAGCAGATTGGCCAGATCTTTATGTTCTCATTTTGGAATTTTCACTATGACTTAATTTAAACAATTAAAAAATCCAACTTTCAGACTGAGTATATATAATAATATGAGTCAGCAAGTGGGGGTGCTTTAAAAACCTAGGGACACATGAATACACAATGTGTTGCAGCTTATGCTATTTCCATCAGATAGTACTGAAAGAGAATAACTTTTTCATCAAAATACTATACATACATAAGAAATATATGAACAGCACAATGAAAATTGGGACTATAATAAAAGCCAGCAAGGATCGCACTCAATTATCAATCAGAAAATGCAGTCATGAAGATTGATTTGTGAACTAGTATAAGGAACAAGTAACTTGAGGCAATTAACACAGAATACAGAGTTAGCTGCATAACAAAACCAATGGGTTTCCAATCCATAACAATCAAGCTGCACTGACCATAATAATGCACAATCTAGTAGACTAAGTGCTAAACGATCACAATAATGCCCAAGTTGCTTCATATTGAGTTACAGAAGCTCACAAAGATGAAAATCTAGCCTCATGCAGCAGCTAATTAGTGCATTCTAACACTTTTTAACTACTACTCCCTCCGCCCCGAATTAACTAGTGCGGAAATGAATCTCTGCGACAAGTAATTCAGGACAGAGGGAGTATAAATCATGCTTCAAGTGAAAACAGAAATCGATTATGAATTTGTGAAGATGGGCATTGGTTCACTACCAAGATTTGGCTAGCCAATGTGTATTGGCAAAGCCCAGACTTGGCAAAAGCTGGCAACTTTATGTGAGGTTGGCAAGAAAATTTGGTAAACAAGAAATTACTAGCCAATAATTGGTCGATGCCAAATATTAGCATGCCAATTTTTGGCATCAATCCAAGAATGCTCAATATCTCCATAGAAGAAAGCAGAAAGAAGAATCAGAACCAATTTCAAATCATCCAACATGTCCCTGGAATGCATTGCTTATTCAATCCATCTACTAGCAAGTAGCAAACTCAACTGATACTACTATCAGAAACCGAGTAGCTACGAATCAACCTGTAATCCTTCTTTTGATCATTTTTAACTGCCCTTGCATCGTTGTACACTGCTTTGTATATCTGTTTAATTAGAACTAAATTACAAAACTCTCCTACTGTTTCAGTTGAAAAAAAAAAGTTGCAACCTACAAACAGAACATCTTCAAGTGCAGAGCATTGCAAGAAATACATGGACAAACAGAATATGATTGAAATTTACAACAATAACCATTACCAACAGTATACACTCCAACTGAATCTCCTCACCAACCCACAAGCAGGATCATAAAATATATTGATTTGTGAACTATATGCAACGAGTAACATAACTACATAAGACAAGTTAACATACAATACAGAGTTGGCAACATACCAAGCCAGCAGTCTTTCGAGCCATAACATACCAAGCCAGCAGTTTTGCGAGCCATAACAAACAATCTTCCGCATGCAATGTATACTAGGCTTGGTCGACATTTCAGTGACAAACAATTTCACAAAATGCAGAGCAATTGACCTCATTTGGACACAAGCAGCATGTCAGGTTTGCGTTGCTTGCTCGGCGTGTTTGGCTTGGAACTTGGTCTGGAGCTCGATGCGGTGCTTCCAGCTGTGCCAGAGGCTACCATTATTCCGGAGGCCGCTACAGCTGCTGCCTTGGCAGCCTTGCGGGCGCTTTTGTCAAGCTCAATCAAGCTCCGGGCTGCCAGAATTGCCTGTGGCACAAGGTCATGACATGCACGGGCATAGACAACCCGCACAGCTTCTGCGGCGGCATCCCGCACCTCCATTGGGTTCAGTGGCGCGAGCAAGCAGTGCCCAAGAACCCTCATCACTGGCTGCAGAAACTCCCACGGTAGCTGCACCCTTGCCTCCCTTACCTCCTCCTCCTTACCACAATTCCGTCCACTGCTGTCTCCATTGACACTCAGCTTTGCCAATTCTTCCTCCAGGGCTTTCCCATTCCCATTCTCAGCATCGGTGGACAATGGCGACATGGAGCCCAGAGAATCCCCTTCCTCCACCTCCAACTCTTCATCAAGCTCAAAACGGCATCTGCAGTACTGCCCCGCCCAGGCAGCCACCGCATTGCAGGCATCCACCTTGGATGCAGGGGGCATCTGGGCGATCTTGGCGTAGTACGCCTCAAAGGCGACCCCTATAATCCCCGCGCGCTTGGTCGACTTCACTGCAGCCTGTGGCTCCAGCGGCGGCGACAGCACGCCCACCACCACATTTGCGGGAGGAGGGGGGATCGGCGGCGGGTGCGGCCGGCGAGGCGATCTCGAGCTGGGGCTGGACTGCGGAGTGTGGTACAGGGAGGGGACGGAGAGGTCGGGGACATGGACAAGCACGGGCTTTCCCTGGCGGCTCTTGGCCTCGGAAGAGTAGACGGCGAGGAGGACGGCCTCGAAGCCAGATAGCGAGGATGGGAGCGCGGGAGGCAGGCGGAGGAGGTAGAGCGACGAGAGGAGCGGGAGGAAGGCGAGCGCGGCGAGGCGGAGGTCGGGGTCCTGGGAGAGGAGCGTGTCGTAGAGCCAGTGGCAGGCGGGGTCGTCGGCGCCGCCCCCCGCGCGGAGCGCCCCGGAGAGGGCGTCGTAGGCGGCGGCGGAGCGGAGGAGGGCGCGGGCGGGGCGGTCGGAGTCCGCGAGAGCCGACACGCCGGGGGAGACCTCGGGTGGGAGGATGGAGGCGAGCGCGAGGATGCGGGAGCGCGCCTGGGAGACGGACTCCCACCAGGACGGGGTGGCCGAGTCGGCCGCCGACGCGGCGGCGGAGGCCGGGGAGGATCCGGAGGGGGAGGCGACGGCTCCGGCGGAGGCGGCCGGGGAGGTAGGCATGGCTGGCTGGCTTGCCGGCGGCGGAGAAGACGAGATGAGATTTGGAGTCGTCCTCTCTCCCACCCAACCACCCTGTGTTTCAGCTCTGGAATGGGCCTTTTGGTGGTTCCGTGTCTCGGGAGGGGCTATTTTGTAAGTTGAACAAGTTGTTGGCAGTTGTGCAGATGCAGATGGTCAATGGGCAGACAGCTCAAGGGAAGGGAAATGGAGCCGGCGTTCTACGCCGCTACGCGCAGTCCACCGCCAACTTCCCGATTTCAGCGTATATTTTTTATTTAATATTCTTTAAAGTTTCAACCAAATGTTGAAAAAGTAGTGACCTAAGATTTAACGTTTGATTGTGGCCTACGAATATGCATATGCCATGCTCAAAAAATAACATGCATATGCCGAGCTGGAGAGCACGATAGCTAGGGCTATTTCTTTTCTTGGTATCTCCAACGCCAACTCTCAAACCTCCTGCAACCATACGAACCGTGTTATTTAGACCATGAAAGCCATCCAACACGATTTTGTATGGGTCTGCAGCGCTTCGGACGCGTTTTCTCCCGTAAACTGGAGACAAACGTGGGAGAGTTTTGCACGAGTCCGGACCGATCCCAAACCCGCTTGACCACCCTGGCCCACCAAAAGTCCCTTCCTCCTTCTGCGCGCTTTTCCCATCCGGCGCCAGCTACCCACATTCATGTCGCTATAGAGCGCGTCGCTCTACATTGAAGGCGGCTCAGGACGGACGCGACCTCTCACTTCATTTGCCATTGAAGCGGCGCGCCAGCCGAGGGCGTCGGCTGCTGCACGCTCGACTGAAGATGTCAGGACCCCGACTCGATGTCACATCGATCTAGCCGGTAACACCTCATATCACTTTGCGGCCTCACGCACGGTATCCCCACGGGTGTCGCCTTACCTTTGCCCGGGACCGTTTGCGCCTTTTGGCTCACGTATATGATAGTGTCGCTAGCATCCATATGATAAGGAGCCCGGGCTGACATGACTAGTCGTAAACCCAAAGTGGCACAGACTTACAGGGACAGGCATCCATGACCCAGCTTCGAACGTGTCGGTCATCAGCAAGTGGGTCCGGGCTGTAGCACTGGGCTAGCAGGACTCCGGTAAACCGGGCTGTAGTGGGCTAACAGGACTCCGGTACTCAATGCGTGACATTTCCCCGAAGGGACAGACACCGGAACGAAGAAGGACACATGCCGGCCAGCCTAAGTGTTCCAGAGCAGTAGCAAGCTACCATGGCTCAGCGGTAACACTAGGAGACATTTCCCGGTAAGAGAGGCTACTAAAGATAAACAACTAGATAGTCAGATCCCACACATACCAAGCATTTCAATCATACACACAATATGCTCGATATGTGCAAATACAACAAGGCATCACAACATGACTCTACGACACAAGTACTTTATTTAAGGTTCAGAGAACCATACATAACATACACAAGGTACGGGTCTCACGACCCAGCATTCAAGTCATACAGTCATACAAACCAGCAGCGGAAGTAACTTGTCTGAGTACAGACAACTAGAAAGATAAAAGAGGCTTGGAAAGCCTAGCTATACTACGTGGTCCTTCACAAGCTCAGGATCACCACCTGGGTCTTTAGCCTACTCGTTGATGTCAACGTCTACGTAGAACCCATCAGAAGGGGTTGCAGCGTCTTCTGTAAAATGTAGATTATAGCAACATGAGTACAAAGGTACTCAGCAAGACTTACATCAGAACCTACATACATGCATATTATCAAGAAGGGTTGGTGGAGTTATTGCAGCAAGCCAGCTTTGACTCTTGGCTAGGCTAACCTACGAGACTCCAACTTGAAATGGTTTTGCGCACACGAGTCCATTACTCACCACTTCAATACACTACCGAGGATCCACCTCCGTCTCCCTACGGAAGAGCCATCCTCGGCACTCACACTTATCTTGAGGCTTTTAGTAGTTTCCATTTACTTGTCTATGAACTGTATAGGCAACCAAGTAGTCCTTTACCGCGGACGCGGCTATTCGAATAGATCATGATAACCCTACAGGGGTGTACTTCTTCATACATATTTCCACCACTTAGCGTCTGCACACGACATGTGCTCGGCAGACTTCAAGCGAAAGCCGACGTGGGTGTAGACCACGACCTACCTAAACACTTAAGCCTCTAGTCCAGGTTTATCACCTATCCAGGTTCCATCCGCAGGGAGTCCGGCCGAGGTTTCCCATACGGCCCCGAACGATGTGAACAGGGTTCCCGAAATACCTAACGGGTATTCGGTACACCGTGCCACGTACCTACCGCATCACAGCCCACCCCTACGGTCAGCGCTGTCCACGGCCTCCAGTAGGCTACAAACACCAGAAACTACGTGCAATTCCTGGACAGAGAGCTAGGGTGAATAAGAAGTCGAGCGGGGTCATATTTCAGGGCCCAATGCATGGTAGTAGCTGTATCTTAAATCACACATACAGATCTCAGTGCTTAAGGTCGGCTTCAATGAAACAACCCACCATGTACTCCTACATGGCCTCTCATCGATACCTTTACCAAATCGTGTTCACCACACCACTCTCATTACTGACATAATCATTTCACTCTAGCCATCACCCAGATAAACCAGACCTGACACGACTCTAAGCATAGCAGGCATAGCAAGGTAGGAACAACACATACATATGGCTCAATCAACTCCTACACATGCTAGTGGGTTTCATCTAGTTACTGTGGCAATGACAGGTCATGCAGAGGAAATGGGTTCAACTACCGTAGCACACAGCAGTTTGAAACGCATTGTCTTAATGCAGTAAGAGAGAGCAGGAGCGAGAACATGGGATTGTATCGATATGATCAAATGGTTGGTTGCTTGCCTGATGGTTCAATGCACTGATACGGTTCTTCGTTAGGGTAATCACGGTACTCCTCGGAGGCAGATCCTGCCGCAAAGAACACCGATACACAACCATCACCAAACAATGTGCAACAATATGATGCATGCATGAAACATGGCAATATGAGTGTGTTGGGCTAATGCAACTAAAACCAGAAGGGTTTGAACCAATTTGAATCAAAGATTCAAATTTCAAACTCAAACATGGCCTTTTAAAGTGCTTTTCCTTGTTCTGCATTAAACATCAAGTTAACTTGTTTAATCATGCATGAAAATAGTACAGATGGATAGATTGGATTTTTCTGATCATTTTTCATATATAATTTGTCTGATTTGGAGTTACAGAATAAAAGTTATGAATTTTTGAAGTTTAAATTATATTCTGGAATTTCCTATATTAGAATAATTCCAGAAAATCAATTATTGCGTCAGCCTGACGTCAGTGTGACGTCAGCAGGTCAACGGAACACATCTGGGTCAAACCTGACAGTGGGTCCCGCATGTCAGAATGATTAAATTAATTAAAAGTTTAATTAAAACTAAACCTGTTTAATTAACAGGGTTGGGCCCCACCTGTCATTGACTCAGGGGAGTCAACCAGGGCCCACCCGTGGTCAAACCCGGGTCGGCTGCACCGGCGTTTAGCCGCCGGCGAGCCCGACGCGGCGGCGGAAGTGATTTTTGCCGTTCCGGCAACCAAACGAGCCGCAGAGGGCACCAGAGCGGAGCTGAGGTCGAGCCGCAGCTCTTGGTGGAGTCCGTTGGGGTCGGGGTGGCCGGAGTTGGCGCCGGCGACGACTTTGGCGGCCACCGGAGTTCGGCCAAAGTCGAACTTGTCGCTAGGGGGATCGGTGAGGTGCGAGGAGTGCACGGTTGGGTCCAACGCAGCGTGGTGAGTGCGTTGGACACCGCGGGTTGGCCGGAGGATGGCCGGGAGCACGTCGGCGACGAGATCCGCGGCGGTGCGTGCGGGTGATCTTCGTGCGGTGGCTACACGGCTCGGGAATGAGAGAGAGAGGGTCGGAGAGATAGCTGGGCTCACAGCGCTCCCGTAGAGGCCACCGGCGGGGTCGGGGACGAGCTGAGGCGGCGACGGCGTTGAAGGGGATCTCCGGCGACGGCGAGCTCGGGCGAGGTCGGTGCGGTGGTCTCGGGCCGCACGAGCACACGGGGCTCGGCTAGCTCGATGAAGTGGACGGCGGCGGAGCTCCTGGACACGGCGGCACGGCGTGGGGTTGACGGAGGGCGTGGCTACGGCGAGGGGGTGGCGGCGATGGCGTCGGCCATGGCGTGGGAGAGCGAAGGGGAGGAGCTGGAGGGGAGAGGGGGTGTCTGGGAGGTTCGGGGGAGAGAGGGAAGCCGATTCACGGCGTTAGCCGAGCGAGGGAGGCGGCGAGGCGGCGAGCAGGTGCGTGGCACCCATGCGGTGCTCGCCGTCGAGCACCTGCCTGCCTGCCTGGCCGGCAAGCAGCTCGCTGGCGCGGTGCTGGGCTGGGCCGGCAGGTGGGCCGGTGCTGGGCGACAGGTAAGCCTTTTCCCATTTTTTTCTGTTTT